GCAGGCCGGGATACTGGAGCCCTGTGCCTCCTCGCCCCCGGGGGCTCCGGTGGGGTCAGGCCCCATCCTCTCCTCGGTGGGCGTCCTGTCTCGTACCTGGAAAGCGGCGACTGCTGCGCACAAGAAACGCATCTGGGTAAATGACACGCGGGGGCGGGGGGCCGGATGGTGGCGGTGGAGTGAGGGGTCTTCAGGTCGAGGAGGGTCTGGGAGGGTTGCGCCGTCTTGCCGACCGATACCTCTTCCTAGCGCTCGCTAACCCCGGCGCTTGCCCGAGCGCCCATCCTTAGGTGGCAGCACCGGGGACCGTGGGAGCCTGGGTCTCCCCGGCTCCAGGGAGCACACCTGGTGAAGCTGGGGTTTCCCTTCTCTCTCCTCTAAGTCCCCTTCCAGCTCTGGGTCCATCTGGAGCTCTTTGCTGCTCCCTTTCCCAACGGAAGCCTGACTTGGAAACCCAGGATTCCCTCGCTCCCCGGAGTGAATGGGAGAGACCTTAGAGGCGCCTCAGGCTCTCCTCCTCTCTACCCAACCGGTTGTCCTGGGAGAAGACGAGGTCCTTTCTCCTGGAGGGACCAGTCCCTGGAAGCTGGAGGGAGAGATGTCCCGCTGGAGACCCGGTCTGTGAGAAACCGGCTGCCTCTTTCCTGGCCTGGGAAATGCCGGCATCCTCGCCTTGTCTGGGATTCCGGTGGGAGAAGCCTGGGTCCCCTCCACGCCCAAGGCGGGTGGGAAGGAAGGCGGATCGGCTACCCTCCCAGAGCCCGCCGGGGGTGGGGGGAGCCCGACTCCCTTCCAGCCAGGCGGGCGAGAGCGCCGTGCCTCTAAAGCCCACGCCTGGGCACCACACGCCTGCGATGGGGCTGCCCCGCCGGGCTGCGGTCCCCGCGACGGCCTGGAACGCTGGCTGGGGACCCGCGCCTGGCTGGTGGCCACAAGGATGAGGACAACCAGGACAGAGGGCCCTTCCCGGCTGCGGCCGCACCGTGCGCCCTCCTCCGGTGCCTCGCCGCTGGGCGTCTTCCGGGGGGGCCCAGGTCCCGAGCCCCAACGCTCCCTCCCTGCTCCCCGCCACTCACCGCGGTAGCTGGCTCCGGGCTTGTAGAAGTCGGGGTCGCCCTCCACGCGGAGACTGAACTCCGTGTAGCCCTCGCGCCGCGTGCCCTGGGCGCGCAGAATGCGGCTGCAGTAGCCCTCCGATTTGGGCACTTTGTCCAGGGTCTCGTCGGAGAAGGCCAGCGCCACTGCCAGGGGCAGCGCCAAGGCCAGCAGCACCGGACTCCTGCTGAGCCTCAGCGGCTCGAGGGGCAGCCTCATCCTCGCGGGCCCCTCAACTTTGTGCCCCTGCCACTGGATCTCGCCGAGCAACTGCTGCCCCAAGGATTCCCCGCGGACGCGAGACCCGGCGCCGCTCCGGCCGGCCGAGAGCAGGCGCTCAGAGCCCGCACCAGCGATTCGGAGCCCGCGCCCGCCTCTGCTTGGCTGCTGCCGAGCTGCGCTGCGCGGAGCTGAACCGAACGAGTCTAGCAGCGCGAGAGAGGAAGGGAGGGCGGCGAAGGAGGTGGTGGAGGAGGAGGAGGAGGAGGAGAGGGAGAGGGAGAGGAGGAGGAGGAGAAGGAGGGAGGGCTGGTTTGCCCAGATCCCCCAGCGCAGCGCTGTTTTGTTTCTGAGCTGGCGATTAGTGGCCGTGTTTATTTAGCGACGCTGCATTCCCAGGGTCTGGCTAAGAAATCTATCAGGGCACCCAGACCATGCAGGTCGGTATCAAAGCCCAAAAGTCTGCTACCCTAATCTAGCTGAGCAGAAGACATGGTCTGGACCCTGCGGAGAAGAGGGCTCCCAGGAGGAAAAGACGGAGAACTAACTTTGTGCACACCCTCACGGTGCCTGGCCAGGGCCCGTATGGTAGCTGCACACACGCTTCCTGCACCCAATAAACATTATATGACTTCGTCACGGTCTATGTGGTTTGCAGCCCAACAGCCGAGGCAGGGATAGATAGCTATCAAGCCTTTCTATCCACTCTTCCTGTCTCCCGTGGGAATCGGTCCGATTGGAAGGTGACCAAAAAACAGAACTTCTCCGTGACACCCTGGACCATACTTTCAGGGTTTCCAGTGTCTTCTTTTAACATCAGAAGGGAAAGAAAAAGGCACGGGTCAAAGAAAATGTTGAAATACATAACATTCAATCATCATTAAGTGTTTATCTTTATCCCAAAACTGCCATAAAATATATTTTCAATATACACACCCACACGAGCTTCAAGGAGTTCATGGAAATATTGCATTATCTTTTCTTTTTTTTCCCCCATTATCTTTTCATTCCATTTATCCATTAACTTTTTTTTAAAGCCCGCCAGCCGTGCGCGCGCGTGTGTGTGTGTGTGTGTGTGTGTGTGTGTGTGTGTGTGTGTTAATTGAAGAAGAATCTCACCACAGCAAAGGTGCCCTGAGCCAAAGAAAGACATCTTGCAGTCCTGGAGAGGACTTGTGAGAAGTTCAAAGAAAAGGCTACATGTTCTTGGCTTACATTTTTAGCTCAGTTGTCAGTCCCAAGCAAGAGATGTGCCCCAAAGGGAGGAGCCTGGTGCCTCAGCAACCCAGCCTGAAGATCAGCTAAGTAGGCAAGAATCCTTCCCAATCCAACTTCAGCCCTGCCCCTACCAGTCAGGAAGTGGTGCAAATTATTTAACCTCTCAAGCCCCAGTTTTCTCTTTTGCAGAACAGATATCTTAATAAGACCTTCTTTTGGGGGTGGCTAACATTAGATGAAGTTATGCCTATAAAACACTGAGCCTGGGCTTCAGTGCCCTCACCACACACTGAGCTTGATGCGTGGGCCTGGGCTAGCCGGAGGTGCCAAAGCCGTGAAAACTACACACTCGGTTCCTCTCCGTGCCAACAAGCATCTCTCCCCAGGCCTCTCAAAAAGTGTTGTTTGCCCCCTCTCCCCTTTCCCTTGGGTCTTCAACACACCCCAAGTGTCTTCACTTAGAGGGTCATCTCCTTTGCTTTCCAATCAGCTTCTCCTCCTCTATATCACGAACAAACAGCCCAGAGGAGATACCTCTTCCGGACGCCTCTATCACTTCTCCACCTCCACACTCGGGGCTCAGGCCCTGGAGCTGGGGCCGGAGCTGCTGCTGTTAGCTGAGTGCTGTCTCTCAGAGGTCATCAGAACTGCTCCGGTGCTGAAGCCAATCATGTTCTTTTTTCATCCCAGGCCCTCTTGACCCTCAGTAGCACTTGATTCTGACAACACGCAGGTCCATCCCTGGTCCCAAATGAGCTATCGTCATGTGACTGGTTCCGGTCTCACGCTAGACTCTGTTGCACAGTCCCGTTCGTCCAGCAAGCTTTTGTTGAGTGTGATTTTGTGGCCAGTTTCAGGCTGATGGGTGAGGGGCAGGAAGGAGCAAAAACTTCATTCATTCATTCATTCATTCATTCATGTGACCTCACGTGCTCAGTGCTGGGATATGAAAGTGGTTTTGTAAATCTTAAAGTCCTTTAGAAAAGGCAAATGTTCAGTACACAATTAAAAATATATTTTTTTACATTTTAATCGCCGGTTATACTAGAAACTAAAATAATTTGTTCATCAACAGGTGTGTAATAGGATTTCCAGTTCTTTTTTAGGGGTCAGGAAATTAGAGATGAATAAGATATGAACTGTCATCATGGAGTTTATTATCTTATGTCCACGTATGTATCCTTGAATGTGTTTTCATCAAATCTAAATCAACATATCTAAATATAATGTGGAGGCTGGTGAGCATGAAGCAAGCAGGGGCATAAGATCTAATTTTCTATTGGGTACTGAAAATATGATGAGCAAATAGGAGGCACCATTCACCCCCAGTTTTGAGATTAACAACCTATTAAAATTAGCTCTCTGTGCCTAGCTAGTAAGGAAGAGAGTCAGCAGTCAAACCAGGTCTTCCTACCACCCAAAGGGGTTCTTCTCATTAGTGTTAACTTGAACCTCCAGATGATGACAGCAGGCTCCAAGCAACCCATCATGTCTCCATTCCCTAGCCCAGCCCTGCCGCCACTTCCTACCTAGACTCTCTCATTCATACCTCCCAAGCATCACCACATCCTTGGCTTCGCCTTCCAATTACCTCTGCAACCTGTCCACTTCTCTCCTCCTCCTTTGCAGCTGTTCTGAGCTGTTCTGTCTGAGTTGTCACTCTCTGAGCCTCCTAATTGGGCTGTCCTTGCCCATTCCTGCCTCCCTCCTGTCTTCTGCACTGAAGCTCAAGTGATCTTTTTAAAAAGGCACATTTGAATGTCAGCCCTAAGGTCAAGTCTTTTGCAGGATGCTGAGAATAAAGACCCCCTCTGTAACACGCCCTCCGAGGCCCTGCTTGATCTCCATCCACACAACTTCTTTCCTCACAGGGTCCAGGCACCACTGGCCTTTCAGTTTTGTGAATGCTCCTGGCCTCGTTCCACGCACTACGTGTTTGCTTGTGTTGTTCTCTCTACCTGGAGACTACAACACTCTTTAGTCTCTTACCCAATCTCCCATCTGGTGGCCAATCCCTAGGCATCATTCAGATCACAGTGCAAAACTGCTACCTCATGGTAGTCTTGTTGGCTTTCTTAGAATCTGCCCTCTCATATACACTTTCTCAGAACCCCAGGCCTTGTCCCCTTAAGAGACTGGAAATGTCTAACTGCAACACAGTTCGTATGTTTCCTTACATAGCTAGATGGATCTCATAGTGCTTTGGTCATAGTAGCACCTCAATAGAAGCCTGTCTTATGAAGAAAAATCTTTGGGGGGAAAAACCCAGTACCCACTGATTTAGACTGCACCTTCAAGTGGCTTCCAAGGCCTGCCCCTGTCTGGCCTCATGGTGCCTACCTGGTTGTGCTTGGTTATAGATCCCAGAGTGAGCCCCCACCCCCACCCAGCTGGATCCTGTGTCATCCGCCACTGTCAGTTTTCCCTCAGCACCTTTGCTTCGAGTTTTCCCATCACCAGGAATGTCCTCTCTGATCTTACACTCTTCTCTCATTTGTAGAACAAGTCCCCTCTTCTCTGGACTTCAGTAGCACTTAAGAAGAGAAAACGTTTCTTATTTTTTCCTATTGTGCTTCAGTGGATTGTCATTAACTGTTTCGTGTGTCTCTGTCTCATCTCCTCGCAATGATTCCACCTTACTTTCGATTTAATTTCCTGTTCAGATGTTTTGTTCTGTTGTAAAATACAGTGGACTTCAAGAAATCTCTTTGCAGTTTTGTAGCCTAAGGCAGAGCTGATGTTAGTTGCTAGGGTGTTGCTAGGGAAAGTCATTTAGCCAGGGCAGATAATTAACTTTATCTGGGAGTGTGGGTAGGTAGGTCACACAAGAGAAGAGCTGGGGGCTCCAAGAAAAAAAAACCCCAAAATAACAGAAACCTTTGTTTGGAAGGAGGTAAGATCAGCTTTTTTTTTTTTCTTTTAAGAGAGAAGATAAAAAGGATCTTGCAGATTCGTTTTGTTGTTTTCCCTGAGTGTGGCCATTGACACTTTAGTATCAGATGTTGCTGTGCGTGCAGGTCCCTAACCCCCACCCCAGACCTATGACATTTGTACCTTGAACAAACTCAAGCTAAAGGTGGCGAACCACTGGCCAAGAGCTGAAAATTCAGATTTGAAGAGCGTAGGCGCCAGTGTGGCACACCACATTTTAATTGTGAGAAGCAAGGTGTCTTGGGAAGTCATAGGACTTTTCTAAATCGTTTTGGGGCAAATTTTCAAATAATGATACCCAACCTGGGTTTGGGCAAATAGATGGTTAATCAAGCTAATAATCTATAAATTACAAAGTGATTTATCAAAAATATTATTGCCCTTACTCCTTATTAACTGTAGAACAAGAATCCAGAAATAATATATCTTTATTTCTATAACTCATAGGAGTTAAACTAAGAGGTTTTGTGGGTCGCTGCTTTTAGGAAAAGAAGTAGGTAGACCATGAAAGAAGTGAAATTTGCCCATTTGTATTTGGTCAGGGAAGAAAAGTCTGGAAGCTCTCTACCAAGAGCCAGCAGGCTTTGAGACTTAGGTTACGGAAGGTGAGTATGAAGGTAAAGAGAATCCTAAAAGTGGAAGTCACCAATTCATTATAAGATTTTTATTCTGTACCTGCTGTGCTCTAAGCGTTGGTTAAAGTGTATAAAACTGCATTGCATTTGGACTTCTGAACCTAAAAGGGTCCAGCCCACCACCTCACCTCTCTCCTGATCTCTCCAATCCAGTGGTCGCTGCTCAAGGTTGCCCTTCACTCTGCTCTCAGGAGGGCCCTGTCTATTGCCAGTAGGCCTTTCTATGTCCATAACCTTTCCTGAAAAGCATGGTGTGAAACCAGCTTTAAAAAGCCGATCTCGTCCTTCAAATGAAATCCTGTTCAGAAATACAATAAGGAAAACAAATCAAAGTGCAGTTGTGCCGGTTGGAAAGCAGGGGTGCAGGGAGCTG